GCTACGAACTCTCACCTTTCTTTATCTAAAAATCCTTTTTTTTTTTATTTACTTGATTAAAACTGCATTTTGTCCAGCATATACCTCTATTAATAGAAGTACAAGTAGAATAGACATACTAAAACTTTATAACCAAATAAATATTCAAATTAAAAATGAATTTCAAAATTTTAGGAATATATCTATTAAACTTACTTCAGATATATGGGCTTGTAGATCAAAAACTGATTTTTTTAACTGTCACAATGCATTACTTAGATCATGGTTGGGGTTTACAACAAAAATTGATAGGTTTTAGACCATTATATACTGCACATAATGTTGACACTATTTATTTTACAATACTAGAAGTTTTGCAAGAATATGTATTAATTGATAGAGTTGTATCGCTAACACTAGATAATGCAGCTGCTAATACCGTGACTATCTCTTTATTTGAAAAGAGATTGGATCCGCGTGGTGAAGGTAAATTTTTTCACCAGAGATGTGCTTGCCACATCATCAATTTGATTATTAAAGCAGGTTTAGAAGCTATAAATTCGAAGATTGAAAGGGTGTGTGCGGCTATCAGATTCATCGTCGGCGGTAACAACAAAAGATGGCAAGAGTACGTCAAATATTGTAACCAAAAGGATCCACTGGTTTGACCTTTGAAGTTATGTACGGACATGCCTATCCATTGGAACTCCACTACTTGATGTTGGAAAAAACTTTGTCAAACGCAAGACAAATTACAGATTTCGTCAACCGGAAGAATCCGCAAGAAGTTGTCAACTATGATGATCGGATGGTTTGCAAACTTTTTTATTCATTTCTTAAAGTTTTTTATGAATCCATCAATACATTAAGTGGTATTTATTATCCTACTATTAATTTAGCGTTAGATATTTTACTTCAAATTTCTAAAACTTTTGCTAAATATAGATATAATGACGTCTTAATGGAAATTATTTCAAAGATGAAAAAAAAAATACGAGAAATATTGGTTAGATATTCCATTCTTATATGGATTAGGCTTTGTTGTAGATCCTAGGTTTAAATTACACATAGTTAATTGTATAGTTATTGAGATAGGTCAGCATTTAGAACATGATTATACGTATTATTTGATTAACTTTAAGCAAAAATTGGAAAGCATTTTTTCTTTATATCAGAGTAGGTACAATGGAACTAGAACGTCCAGCAAAGACAACCAACATGACCCTGATGAAGACAACTATCAAGAATCGAGCATGTGGACGTACATGGAACATGGTGGCAGAAGTAGCAGCTCCAGTGCGTACATACATGGACCAAATGAGCTAAATCGCTACCTACAAATGGATATATCCTACATGACGAAGAAGGATAAATGTGAGATGGATGTGCTTCAATGGTGGAAACGACATCAAAATCGATTCTCTATTGTAGCCCAAATGGCACGTGACATTTTATCTGTGCTGGTTTCTACAATTGCATCCGAGTAGGCATTCTCAACGAGTGGCTAGATTGTTGAAGACAGAAGATGCTCTTTAACCAATGAGATGATTGAAGTGATAACATGTTTACGGGATTGGACTCATGCAGAGAGAAGACTACAACAGCACCCTGAACTACTCGAACTCTTCAAGAACACAGATTTGAACGATTGACGATGAATAGTTTTAATTTATTTAATTGTTTATTTGTGAAGTGTGAATGTATGATTGTGTGAATATTACATTTATGTTAAAATTAATTAATTAAATTATCTCTTTAAAGTTTAAATTTAAATTCTTATATTTATAAACTATTATTAATTATAATTAACCATTAATTTATTTGTTATTTTATTATTTTTTAAAATTAATTAAAAATTTACTAATCTCTGGAATGCAAATAAATTTTCCATGCCCCTAAAAATTACATAAATCCCCTTACATAATTTTTTTTGCCTAAATATAAAAAAATTGGGGGGTGAAAAATAATTTTCCAGGCCCAGAGGGCCGGTCCTATGGGCTTAGGACTAGTCCGGGTCCTGAAATTTCTCATAGGTCCCAGGCCAATGAGCGACTGGTTCCAATCGGGCCTAGACCCGAGCCCAGTTGGGACCGGTCCTTACCCAGGTCCAGGTCATAGGAAGCTAGTTTAACAGGAGGTTGTGTGTTTGATGTGTGACAGTTCAATCCGGTCCATAAAATCTGTGAGAATGCATGTATTAGTATTGTGATCAGTTGGCACATAGAAAATGAATGCCTGTTTTTCACATGTCTTATGAGATGACTAATTGGAATGTCAGCTTGTTAGTGTGACTACTTGTCACTTTAGACATGTTTTTATTTTTTTATTTTTTATTATTTTTATATAACCTTCAGTTTACTGGTGCTTGGTTGATTTCATTATTAATTAATTAGATTCAAATAGTCATTAATCATAAAAAATAATTTTCTTTGAAAAAAAAAAAAAAATAGTAACACGGCAGGAAGGGCATGGACAAATTGAATTTGACCTTTTGGTCAAATTGTCCAAATGTAGACATTGAATCACTAATCTTTAATCCCTTGTTTGGAAAAATGCAGACTGCATTTTTGCAAAGTGCAGTTTGCAAAAGTGCAGACTGCAAACTGCAGTTTGCAGTCTAAAGATGCTAAAAAGTTGGTTAATCAAGAAAAATCTTTTGCTTGTGTTGAAATTGAAAGTGCTAGGGCTGTGATACAGAGATTTGGAGAGGCTCTTGAGGAGGAAGAAAGAAATTCCCCTAAACCTAAAACTCAGGTTCCAACAAGTTCTCTTACCTTAATTTTTTTTTTTTTTTTTCCTAGTTGATTAATTAAATTCATGGCAGGCGTGAATTTTTAGATAATATTCACATTTTCTAAATTATAATTATGTAAGGGAAACTTGCTTGGACTAGGGATCTGTTCATTTAATCATGTGGATTTAGTAAGGGAAATGGTGTTTTATAGGTTATAGTTACCTCATTTCTATAATTTTGAAGAATTTCAGCAGGTTATTTGAATTGACCTTGATATATTCAAGACCATTAGGTGTCACACACCTTGAATCCCTGACATTAGAGCTACAATAGTGCTTCTACTCATGCTAATTTAGTTTCACAAAAAACTTTAAAGAAAAATTCTCATCATTTTTTCTTCTCTTCTCATGGTAGTCAAAACCCCTTCTTTGAATTTCATATGTGATGCCTCTTGTTGTATAACAACATTTCACTTACATGTAACGTTATCATCAAGTTCATTGTGTAGATTAAAACATAAAGACGTCCTTGAGTAATGGGGATTCATCTGCCATGAGTATATCTTTTGACATTGAATTCAATAAATACTCACTCCCATACTTGTGTTTCGTGTGGCAGGATGTGGAGGTATTGGTAGAGGAGGTTCAAGAGGCTAGAAGAATTAAACGATTGCATCAACGAAGCAAGGTGAACTAATATTATCTCCTTAATCTTGTTATTCCATGTAGGTTCTTAGTGACACAAGCACATTTCATAGGAAACACAGAAGGCATGAAGTGTTAGATATGTAAAATAGTAAACTATATATGTATAACAAGTAGCTTTTATCGATGGAAACTACAGATTACATATTCTTAATGATATATGTCCTAGAGGCAATGCAAAATCCAAATAAAATTCAACTTAAATTTCAACTAAATATTTCTTCAACAGTAATTTTATATGTTGATCTTAAAAGACATTGACAGAATTAGGAAAGAAATATTTGTGAAGTTGGAGACTTAAACATATTCTTTTCCTCTTTGTTTTGCATTAAATATTTGTGGTGCTTTTATCTTCGTCTTTTCTTGAATTTGTAATATATGCGTTGTCATCTTTGAAAATATACATGGGAATTGATGATGTCTTTTGTATTAATGGTTTTGTAGGTTATGAAAATGCAAAGAGTATTTTTTTTGTAAAACACAATTGGGAATGGAAGATGATATGCATGGTGGTTTTTGTTGTTAGAAATTTTTAAATGATTAGAAAGTATTAATTATTGTTCATAGTTAATTTTTCAATCATCTAGGTATTAGATCTTATGGATGTAAAGGATGTTGGGTGTCTATTTATTAGACATATATGCAAACTTTTTATATAAGGAGGTTCACCATCAATTAAATGTTCTTTGAAAAATTAGTACTATTGTTTATAATTTGTATTATTAAAGTAGCAATTGTAATAGTTTTTATATATGTTATAACAGATATATTGATAACAATTTCAAAATATTATGGAAAAAAATTTTGTACCATTTATAAAATTCAGTGAATGATACTTTGGTAACACTTTTAACATGTTATTAAAAACTCTTCTGTAGCATTTTAACAATGTTAAGAAAAACTAATCTATAACAATGTAAAAATATTATAGATTTGTTATCTATAACATTTTGAGAATGTTACAAAAAACTAAACTGTAACAGGTTAAGCATGATTACCTTTTACCTACGGTAATATTTTTTGTATGTTATCGTATACCATTTTTCTTGTAGTTTATGAGCTTATGAATTGTATTCTACTTAGTTTCTTTAATTTTGTTTACCTTAGAAAGGAATTTTTTTTTTTTAATGAATTTCCTTATGTTAATTTGATTTCTTTATTAATTTTAACATATATTAGGAAAATTATATTTGTGTGAAACAAAAATTATTATCAATAAATATTAAAGTTTCTATATGTATTAATAGGAAAAAAAAAATATTAAAGTATATTATATTATTTTCGTAATTTCGCCACCCCCGTGCCTCCCCTCTTTTTGGCTCCGCCACAGCTTATACCAATTCAGAAATATGAGTTAACCATAACATAATAGTAATTAAAACAAACAATAATAAGATCATTATTCATACAAGTACTGTATATGAATCAGCTGAGGAGTCACCATTTTTCAACTCAACACACTCAGGAGATATAAACTACTCATCATCATCTCTAAATTAATATTCTAATTAAGTTGATTAAAGAGTAGGTACTTAAAATGATTAAAGATACGATGTAAATTAAATTTAACAAGCGGCCAACGCTTATGGATAAGAAGGCAAAACACCCCAGAAAGGAGATGATACCGCCGGACTATTATACTCCTCAACAACATTGAAAACGTAGTTGCATTGTTCTGCATTATTAAGATTTTGTTGTTGATTTACTCCTCCAATTGGCTTGTTCGTGTTTCGCATTGCGAGTGATGTGCTTTCGACTGTTTCTTCTCCCGACATTTCAGTGTAACCAGCTGTGGATACTTGCTTCCTCGTGGCTTGCTCTGTTAGCATACATTTTAATTTAATCACCTACATTAACAACAATAGTTAAGTTCAGACTATAACATCAAATATTATAACACTACATTTTAAAGGCTTTTTTTTTCAAATATTGTCTTCAATTCTCGACCAAATGCAGATCATAAAAGAGACTGTCTCTTCGACAATGTAAAAAGTACTCCGTACGGTCACATCTCCTAAAGAGTTGTGATCATTTCAATCTTATGTTGTTTTGACAAGATCTGTCTCTAGATGGTGTGAAAGTCTTCTTTTGTTTGTTCTTTATACATCTAAAGGTTATTTTTTGGGGACTGAACACCACAGAGTATATATATATATACAATACAAGGATTCTTCCAAATGTGCATAAATATTATATTATACTGTAAATGGCCTAAAAAATTACAAAAAATGATGGAGAAATTAATGATTGTGTATGCAGAGTGTAGTGCATGAAATTGCATGGAGAGTTAGGTTTTGAAACAGTGCAAACCTCTTCTTGGAGCTTCTGTTTCTCTTTGGAGACGGCATCAAACTCCTGTTTAAGAGCATCATAAAGCATCTCAAGTTGCTTAGCCTTCCACCTTGCACGCCTATTTTGGAACCAGACAGCGATTTGTCTCGGCTGAAGTCCAAGATCCCTGGAGAGCTTCATTTTCCGATCAGGGTCAAGCTTAATCTCCTCCTGGAAACTCCTCTCCAATGAATCTAGCTGATCGGTTGTCAATCGCTTCTTCTTCTCCTGACTCCCATAGTTGTTCTTGTCCATTCCTGGAATCAACCCCAGCGATTTCTCTGCCATTCCTGTATGCTTCATCTCCATACCTGAAAAATAAAATATACCCATATGCCAATGACTCGTGGCCTTAATAAAGAACGGTTCCAAATTTAGAGAGTAAGAGTATAGCGTCAAATGGGTAACTTCTTTTTGACCTCAAATAACTCTACTGGGGCATCTCCCAGAAAGCAAGTGTAAAAGTGCATGCTTGAAGATGTACTAAAACCAGAATATAACATGCATGAGAGATGTACTACATAGAAGTAGTAATAAAGGCCACTGCAGTTTTCGCTTGAAGTTGCTAAAAGTTCAATCATAGAAGTTAAAATGAAAGAAAAATTGCGATTGACCCTTTGGTGAAACTGAAGTTAAATTACCTGGATATTGGTCGTAGTTATAGTTGTAGAGGAAGTCAAAAGAAGTTTCTGGTCGAGGAAGAAAGGTTCTTAAGTTGCTATTCCAATCCATATTTTAGCTTCTCTTTGTGTGTGATGAGCTTCTCTCAAATCAAAACGAAATCAAAGTATGAGCAAAGATTTGCATAGAGTAGTAAAAATGTTGGGACTGGGAGAGGGAAATGGAAAGGACCACAAGGAGAAAGAGAAAGAGAAAGGGCAACGGAAGAGGCGTGGGAAGAGATTGATGAGTAAGGATGTTGTTAGTAAAGTTGTGTTTCGGGGTGCAATGCAGCAAAGTGAAGTGAAACTTGAAGGTTCTTTATACTTCACTTTTAGGGTGCAAGGCAACAGTGTCACTGTAAATTTAAGAAGGAGAAGGAAGAGAAGATGGGAGAGTTGTCGGTTAGAAAATGAAGTGAGAAAGAGAAAGGAAAAAAGAGTCTGGTCCCACCTTACTTCACTGACACTGTATGCCTTCATCTTCTCACGCCAACTACTCTCTCTCTCTTTCTCCATCAAAGGAGACAATTTCATGCAACATTTTTTTGTCTTTTTTGTAACAACGGGTTAATGAATTTTGAATCCCTCAGTTTTACTCTAAATTTTTTGATTCATTAAAATCAGCAAGTAACTAAAAACTCTTGTTTTAGAATCAAAAAGTATTGTCTTCAAGTACCTCGGACAGATTTTCTGATTCTAGTTAATCTAAATTATTTATCTCTAATCTTATAAATATCTTACGCAGGATTTATCACATTATTTATATACAACCTGTATTTGGTTTAGTTACAAAGAAGTCTTAACTAACACCAATTTTAATTAAAAGATAATTTTGTAGTTATCAATGTAAAAAAAAGTTGGATTACATTTTTTCTTAACTTTAGATTGGTTTAAGTAATATGTTAGAGTTAATTAGTAATATATAGTTTAAATAAATAAAATTTAATTAGTAATAAAGTAGAGTTGAGTTAGATCAATACATAGGAAGCGACGAGGGATAGTTAAAGAGCTAGAGAAACGATGAGCACATAAAAGCTGCAACCTCTCTTACTTACTGCACCAATAAAGGACATGAAAAAGTAGAGAAGCTAGTTGGGCTCACTACTCGATCCTCATCCTCTTTCTGTTTCTGTTCCCGTTCCTGTTTTTTCACCCTCCTCACTCCGTCTTGTAATTAATTAATTTTCAGAATTGCAGAAGAAGAAAGCTGAATATTTCTCTCTCTCTCTCTCTCTTTGTGTCTGTCTGTACGTGCTTTAGAGGCTGAGGCTGGCTGAGTTGTAATTCAATGGTACGTGATGGAGATAGCTTCCTAGATTGGGCCAACTCTAACTCAGAAAGTGTGTCCACTCAGTGTAGAGAGGAAGAGATTATCTTGTTGTGTATTAAAAAAATTAATTAATTAATTAATAGCATGGCATGGCATGCATGAATGAATGAATATTCAAACATTGAGCCCAAAATATTTATGACAAAAAATGAAACAAAAGTTCTTGCTTTGTGTTTTTGCCTGTAATTAACTAGTTCTTCCTTGTACTGCATGCATTCATTAAACTTTATATTAATTTCTGAATTGTTGATGATACTGATACTGATAGTAACACCTTATATTAAAAGCCAGAATGCTATGAAATATTAATTTAAAAGTTCCTAATTAGGGTAAGTTGTAGACATTTTTATTTTTTATTTTTTTGGAGTGAAGCTTAGTGTTTTGTTATTCATGAATTTGCACCATTAATGAAGTATTATATTTTTCTTTAAAGGTTTTCTTGTTTCTGAAGACAAGAAATTAATATCTCGCATGCATTAATTTTTTTTTTATATATATATATATGTATATTTCGATGACAGAAGGGATGATGATTATCAATGGCACAAAACTTTAAATTCTTGGAGCCATTATTATTAATATTTAAACTAAATATAAACTAATTAAAACAGTAGCTAGCTTTACACAGTGTCCGTTATAAAGGCTTACACAGTGATCATAAATGCTGCCATAGTACATGCCTACATGTACAAGAAAGAAGAAGATGGTTTTGAATTTTTTTAGCTTTAAATTTGACTTTAAATATTTTCTTATAGTTCGTCAAACCTCAATAACCATGCTCTTTAATACCTCTCAATTGGTCAGATCTTTAAGTTAATTATCCTTTCCATTTATGACTTTACAGTTAGATAATTAACTTATATATGCAGGTGTCGTTTTTTCTGATAAAATTATATGATTCATGAAATTAATGCCTGAAATAAGATGATTAATGATATAATAGTAATGGATTAATACCATATGAGATGGGATCTTTTAACTTAGATTTTTTACACAAATTTTCAGTCATGAATTGAATTCAATACAATTCAATGTTGTAAGAGTTGTCAAGGTGAAAATAATAATAATAATAAATAAACTAAACTACTATCAAACTCGTTCACACATCCATTAGATTGCTAAATTTCCCCGATCAGAAATTAATGTTTCAATTTAAGTCGATATTTTAAATTGAAAAATCCTATTTCTATGTTGTATAACTTTAAATTTTATAAGATAGAGTATAAATTTGGACAATTTCTGACTTTTGTGATAAGTTAAATTTTGGGTCATATTACCCATGTTCCTATCGCCATACCCATAAATGTTTTTGTTTAGTACATGGGTGGAAATTGGAATTGTATTCTTGTTTTGTGATGCAATTAATTGAGCCAGTTTCTGTTAGCAATTAACCTAAACTCAAAAGTAATATAAACAACATTCAAATCAAGAGTTAATAACATTAATCCCCTTTAAGTATGATATAGTAAAAAAATCCATTTAAGGTTTCGAAAATAACAAAAATCTATTTATTGTTATGTTTTAAGTGTTAAAATAAACGGTAGGATAATAACTTGATAATATTTACTAACTTATAACAATGTAAATTTAAATGGCTTACTAATAGTTTATTAACTGTAGGAGGATTTCAGTTATTTCAAAAACCTCAAAGGATTTTGTTGTTATATCATAACTCAAGGGGATTAACGTATTAACTCACTAAATTAATTAATTAATTAAATGACTAGTATGTTAAAATTGTAATATCTTAACTTATATATATATACACTACTCCCATTAATAAATGCAACTCCAAAAATATAGGTTGGACCATCACATGGATCCAATTAAGATATGGAGCATCTAATACTATAATACCACAACTTCAATTCTCCCATATTTAATTTTGGGTTTCCAGAAATTAAATTGGACTTGATGAACTGCTTCAAAACCACTTAATTGAGAAACCTGCTTTTATTATGAGACATGGAGCAGCACTGAGGACATAATCTTTTTGCTAAATCTTTTCGATGTTTATTTTTGTTATAACGCGCTGATAACTTCGTATGCCCTAAGAGAAATCTTTTTAGTCTCAGATGTCTTATTAATTTTTAGAAATTACTAAATTAGAAAACCCAAAATAAATTATATTGGCTTTTGGGTTTTCTTTTATATTTGTAATGATTTTTTTGTTTTTTTTGTTTTTACATTTATTAGGGTTTTTATTATATTTGCAGTCATTTTTAAAGGGATTTTGACTTTTTGTTATATTGGCATCAGGATACTTCAATTCAAAAACTGGCGTGAACTAGTACCGACGATATATATTAATTCTGAAGCCAGTTTCTTGTGTCATTGTAGAATCCATTTCCAGTGATAATAATTGAATAAAATCATTTAATAGTTTTCAAAAGTCTTTAGAATGCTTGAAACATAACGGTCTTGCAAAGTGAAGAAATTAACCCTACAAAAGACAGGCATCAAAATTTCTTACTTTAAATTACGGAAACACATCAGGATATGTATGCAAGTATGAAATATACTTAACCAAAACACACGGTTATGATGTTCTCAATGTTTTTTGCAAAACAAACTCTAATTAATATTTGAAAACCAATCAATGATTGTAGCTAAAATTTATTACTTATCTTTACTAATTAACAATCATATATAATCTTATATAACTTGGACCGTCTCTAGTATTGGATCAGTAACATTACTGTCAGAAAACACTGTTGTTTTCCCCATGACATAATTTATCCAAGTGAATTAAAGCTGAGATTAAAAGGAATCTTGATATGGGTACAAATCCAGGGCGGCAAAAAGCTAAAGCAAGAAGATAAAATTAAACTCAAGGTTGAAGAAGAAGATGAAGAACATGGTGCAGTATCAGCTAGCTAGAAGTGGTGGTCCTGAGATAAATTAACTTGGCAAACAAACTTCAACTTCTAACATAGTATAGATAGATTGTAGTAAGAGATTTATCCCCCCGTGGTTTGGGTATAGTATCTCCACTTCTTGGAACTTAAACTACTAGGATATATAAACCCCCTTATTCTAATAGATATTAACATGTGTAAAGGTAAAATAGATAATTCACTCGTACATGTAAGGAAAAAAATGGATAATTTACTCTTTATTCACTCGTTTCTACATAAAAAATATTGTTTCACAGTTAGGATTTGATTGACAACCATTATTTAAGGGGGGCTGTTTCTAGTATTTGAAAAGTCAGGACCTTAACATACTGGACCAGAAGCTGAGGGTCGATTAGTTCTTTCTCTTAGTGTAGTAATTGAAATGAGCATCTAGCTTTAGCTTATTAACGAAGTTATTTTTTTTTTGAGGTATGAGAATGGAGTGGTCCTGGTTGATTAGCTGGTTAGGCAAACGAAAACTTTAAATATTGACCACCTAGCTAAAATTGAAAGGCTTCCAGGTGTAAATTAATATAATGAGTCCCAAACACAGACAGTACTAGTTTCATTTTTTAAGCCTGAGAAAACTACTACTTCAATCTTCATCAAAGATTCCTGCTCAACAGACACCTTCATTTTCTCTACAGGCGGCGCCGATTTGTGGACCATACTCTCTCTATTTCTCTTTTAAAATCAGCCAGCTAAGTTCTTTAATGGCAGTTTCAATCTATAAATGTATTTCAATCCCGTAATGTTCTCAGGACGTGTTTTGTTTTGTAATTAACTTAAAATATCACAATCGTAAATAAGATGAAGACTAATTGATCAATAATCATGTGGAGAAAATACAAGTTAATATCAAATAGTTTAGAGAATGGAGATAATCTAATTGTTACAAGCGTTTAATTTGTATGAATCAAATTATTAATATG